TCTGGGAAGTTCCCTGTGTTCAAATTTTCTTGTTCTGTTGCTCTCCTTGTGGAGTTCCTGTCCTCTCCAGCTCTTACTATTTCCCACTTCTTACATAAAATTCCATTCACTCTGCCTGTCAGTTGGCCATCAGGCTCAGCATCTGCTTTGACAGTCTGCACAGCAGAGGCTTTCAGAGGCCCTCTGTGGCAGGTTCCGAGATTGTTTCCTATTTTCTTCTTCTGGCTTTCAGAGGCCCTCTGTAACATGTTCCTAGGTTGTTTCCTGTTTTCTTTTTCTTCTGATGTCCATTCTCTTTGCCTTTCAGGATGGGGATTGAACATTTTAGTTAGGGTCCTCTCTTTTGCTTAGTTTGTTTAGATGTACAGATTTTAGTGGGTTTATTCTATGTTATATGTTTATATGAGTGAGTATATACCGTGTGTGTCTTTTTGCTTCTGGGACAACTCACTCAGGATGATCCTTTCCAGGTCCCACCATTTACCTGCAAATTTCATGATTTCCTTATTTTTCATTGCTGAGTACTACTCCATTGTATAGATGTACCACAGTTTCAAGCAGAAGGATCTTAAGATGAAGACCAGCCTGGACTCAATAGTGACCCCAACTTCAAAAAACAAAAACAGGAGGCTGGGAGATGGCCCAGTAGTTAAGAACACTTGCTGCCCTTGCAGATTTCAGTCCCCAGCACCTATGTGGTGGCTCATACCCATGAACAACTCTGGTTCCAGAGGCCCTGGCACCCTCTTCTGACCTCCTAGGGAACTTGGCATTTACATGGGACACATGCACGCGTGTAGGCTAACCACCGATGCACACAAATAACTTTTTTAAAAGCTGCTGAACATACTTCAGTAGTTAATGTTTCATTATTACTTATCTTACGTTTAAACATGATCTACATGTTTCATGAACGTCCCTTAGTTGATATAAATGAGCAAAACTCTATGGTGTAGTTTGTAAAGAAACATGGAGAATTTTTAGTCCATGTTTTAACAATTACCCAAGAAATTGTCCTGTGGTCTTTTGCAGCACTTGGCACCATCTCAAGTTATTTCCCTTGTTAGCATTTTTACAGCTTGTGGGCCAGCCTTCACCAAAGAACTCAGACTTGGAACATGCTGTGTGTGTGTGTGTGTGTGTGTGTGTGTGTGTGTGTGTGTGTGTGTATTGTTGTTGTTGTTGATGATGATGATGATGTTTTGGTTCATAACTTTTAGGCTGGGCTTCATTAAATGAACAATATATTAAAGTAGTCTTATTTACCAACGCCTTATCCATGTCATGCGACCTGGAAAAGAATTTGGGATTGGTTCCCATATTTTAGAATGTTCACTTAACACTAAGCCAGCGATGAATTAAGCTTCTTGACAATATTTGGTTTTAATTCTTTGGATTTTTGTTTTGTTTTGTTTATTTTCAGACATGATCTTGTCATGAATCTTTTGCTGACCTGGAACTTACTATGTAGATCAGGCTGGCCTCAAAGTTACAGAGATTCACCTGCCTGTGCCTCCTGAGTGCTGAGAATAAAGGGCATGCACCACCCTGCCTGGAGGGCTCTTAAATTATAATTTTTATATTAAAAATTTATTTAGTCATGTGTTGTGTATATTAATACTCTGTCTGCATGTATGCTTGCATGTTGGAAGAGGGTATCAGACTGCATTATAGATGATTGTGAACCACCATATGTTTTCTGGGAATTGAATTCAGGAAGAGCAGCCTGTCCTTTTAAACATGGAGCCATCTCTCCAACTTCTTAAATGATAATTTTTAAAAATTCATGTCAAAGAAAGAAAATGGACAAGGATCAGAGAATAAGGTTAGCAGGAGGTAGAGAAGGATTTGGTCAACTGTGAGACTGCTACAGGACCTACCAGAGAGAACAGAGCATGCAGCACCCAGTTAAATTGATGACTACAAACTCCTTTCAAAAACCCTCAGGGCTTTCCTCTCCAGGGGTGGAGAGAGGCCCTGGGTTTAACCCTAATACTCCAAAAGTATAAGAGAATCCTTCAACTATCTTTCTTTCAAGTCCCAGCAGGACAAAAGCAAGTATCCTTGACAGCATTAAACTCTTCCTTCTCCCCCAAATATTAGTTTCATTTCAGTTTATGAGAGAAAATTAAATAGATAAATATATACATGATTAGATACATGATAGATAGATAGATAGATAGATAGATAGATAGATAGATAGATAGACCAAAACAAGAGGAAGCTTCTATCATGCTCCAAATAGGAAGTGTATTTAACTAGTAATTCAAGATCAAAACTGATATGCTCCAAAAAGACTCTATGCATTTACCAACCCAAAGCTATTCTCAAAAGTCAGGAGAAAGAAAGACTTGGCAATCCCAGTACACCAACTGCAGATGGGTGTCACCCACATTTCTCTCTGGCCATTTATTTTGCTAATTACCACAACAAGTATTGGGCATCTTTATGGTATTTTCAAGCAGAATTTGTTTAGTTGAATCTCCTCCCACAACCCGTCCATCCACCTGTCCCCTTTCTTCTTTCACCTCCCATGTGTCCTTCAACAGTCCTCATTTTGCCTCTCACCCCAGCTTGGTTTCTTTCTCTGTTAATGATAAAATACCCTGACAAATGCAGCTTAAGTGAGAAAATACTTCTCTTGGCTCACCAGACTACAGTCCATCGTCACAGGGCAGTCACAGGCGCTTGAGAGACCTGGTCATGCTGCATCCTTTAGCAGGGTAGAGAGCAACACATGCATGCATGCAAGAGCTCTGCTTGCTCTCTCTGCACCTAAGTGCTGGGAGTAAGGCCACCATCAAACGGTGTCTCTGGCTTTCAGAAAACCCCTTGACTATCTAAGAATGATTTTCTAATTCCTGTCTGATCAAGTCAAGCACTTGAGGCCTTCCTTACCTAAGATCTCAAGGAAAAGACATGAAGAGGATGGACCCCCCCAACACTGTGACCTCCCCGACAGCAGCCACAGCTGTTCCATGCAACCGCAGTCACCTGCAGAGCTGCAGCTTCCCAGGACTGCCTCAGATAGTCCAAACCCAATGGCCCAGAGCCTACTCAAAACACAAGCTGACCCTGAACTCCATAGTCAGAATACCAGACAATGCAACAGAGCAGAGTCAGGACAGGAAGAGCTTGCCTCCAAACCCTTGAAGCTCTGTCAAGAAGACAGGAGGCCTCGGAAGGTCAGAATCCCCTGTTATGTTCTTAGTCAGATCTTCATGGTTGTCAGTGTTGCCCTTCTGGTCTTTGTCAACTTCCAGATCATCAAAAAATAAATTAAAATTAATTTAAAAGGTCTCCATTGATCTTATCTTGAGTCAGGCAGCATCTCATGCTATCAGCTAGAGTGAGGTTCTAATGAGGGGACAGAGGAGATGTCTTCATTAAAAGAGAAGACTGAGGAATGCAGAAACAGCAAAAGGTTGTTTGGGTGTTTCTGAGTTACCATCCTTTTGCAAAGGGCAAAGCATCATGTGGAGTAGGGGAGGAGTCATGGATGATGAGCTGAGACCTCGTAGCCTGCAAGCAGAGAAATGGCCATGTTCGTCTAAAAATCTGTCTATTAACATTTACTTTCCTGATCTTTCCAAAAGTCAGATTAACAGTCTGGTTCCATCTCCATGGCTGAAACTTCAACATTAAGACTCCTATTTTGGTTTGCCCAGCTGGCCCTAGTATGGATGCTCCATCCAGCCTGTGGCTTCTATAGAGCCTATGTAAGTGTTTTCCCAAAAAAAAAAAAAAAAAAAAAATGAAAGCATGCAGAGACTTTCGAAGATTTATTTCCATCATTTTAAATCATGTGTCTGTGTGTGGGTATGTGTGCATGAGTCAGTGCCTGGGGACTAGAGGTGTTAGATTCCCCTAAGGCTGGAGTTACAGGTGGCTGTGAGCTGCCTGCCTGACTTGGGTGCTGGGATAGGAAGTACATCATAGTTGTCTGTAGGGACAGCAGGAAAGAGGAGACAAAAGGGGGTAGAGAGAAGGACAAGTTACAAGCTACAGAAGGAATTTTTCAGGGGTGATGGGTATTCTATTATTATTATTATTTAACTATGGAGATATTCCTAAAGATAGATGTGTCAAAGTTTACCAAATGGTACGTGTTGGTACACACAGCTTATTGTATGGCAAGCATACATCAATAAAGCTGTCAGGAAGGTGTGTTTACAAAACTGACATGTGTTACTGGGTCTGCCACAGTGACAGAGTTCTAGCACAATCTGTGTGTACCTTCTGAAACTGAATGAACTACACGTGGATCTCTCGAAGATTTGCTTGTTTCCCTCATTAAATGCTACACTTAAAACGAGAATGCTTATTTGTACTTAGAACACATAACTAGATTTTAAATGTTAATGTATAATCAATAGCTATTACAATCCGTGACTATTAACGTCTCTCACTCTGTGGTGGTTTAGGGTTGGGGTTGGAGTGTTGACATTGAACCCAGGGTCCTGCACGTGTGAGGGAAGCAGTTGGACACAGAGCCATGCTTTCAGCGCCTTCCCACACTGTCATCTGAGAGATGATCCCTGAAAATATCTCAGGAGGTTCCAGTGGCCTAAGAGAATCAAGTGACTAAGCTTCAGGAAAAATGAGAAGGCAAGGCCAGGGAGTTGGGGTGAGTGCAGGCAGGAATAAGATGTGGAGACCTCATCCTCCCGTGAGCAAGTTCTCAGTTCATCCATAAAGTTCTCAGAGCTCATGACCAGTCACCTAACACTTGACACCTTAGCCCTTTAAAAAAAAAAAAAAAAGACAACAAACTGGAGTATGATGGAAAATTTAGATGACCTGGCCTTAGATTGAATACCACAATTGGGAGCGGAATTGGTTTCCCCTGATTAGGTAGCTTAGAACAAACAGCACAGGTTTTAGCACAGCCTCTTGGAGGTTCTAGGGGGAAAAAAAAATCATTTTTGGCTTCTTCAAGCTTCTACAGCCTTGCTGGTGGCAAAGGCAGGCAACAGAGTCAGAGGCAGCTTTTTTCAGGGAATGTTAGACTGCTCATCATTCAGCCGTTCATAGGTCAGGACACTGACAGAGAGTAGACACAGCCTCTGTCCTCTCTACCACCTAGTGACGCATGTGTGACACAGCAGCCACATCCGAGATGCCTCTAGAGGTAGGCTGAACAGATAGTTTTTGAGGAGGGACTTTAGGAACAAGAGGAATTTTGCCGTTGGCTTGATGATTATTGGATAAATTGACAATAGATATGAAATGCAGTAAGTTGTAGGTGAAAGGGTGTATGTACACGTATTAAATATGTGTAAATTTTTACATATAAAGTATGGAAAGCCAAGGAATGTTCAACTGGTTAAAGCTTAAATACCTCTTCACAGAGGAAAGGGAAGAGGGTGAGGTCATCAGGCAATTTCCAAAGGCTTATTAAAAAAAAAAAAAAAAAAAATCAGGAGAATTGACCAAGCACAAAGAGAAGGCAACAGCCTGAGAAAAAGTTCCTTTAGTTTCTGGCAGGGATGGCAAAATGTCAAGCAAGGTGATCAGGGATGGGCGTACGAACTTCATTCAAAACCCACTGTGCAAAGCAAGTCTTCCAGATGACTCCACAGAGCTGCCCTCAGAAGAACAGGCATGAAGTCTTCTCTGGCTTAAAGATGCCGCCGCCTTCTCCTTCTCCTCCTTCTTCTTCTTCTGGTTACATTGAGGTCTCTAGAGACATGGCATGGTCCTTGCCTTTGTGAAACTGTGGCCAAGACATCTGACAGAAACAACTGAAGGAAAGGAGGAGGGTTCATGCTGGCACACAGTTTCGGAAGGTATAGCCCATCACAGGGTGAACGGAGTTCATGGTGGCAGAAACTGTTCACGTCATGATGGCCATGAAACTGAAAGTGGCCAGAACTAAAAGCCAGCCTCAGGCTTCAAAGACCTGCCCTAGAGAGCTAACCTGCCAGTGAAGTCTTACCTCCCGAAGGCTCCAGGGCCACAAGCTGAGGAACAAGCCTGTGAGGAGAGGGATAGTTTGGAGACAAGCCTAATGGGGATCACTGTGATTGCATTTCTTCTGGGAGAAGTTTTCTCAACTGGATGACAACACTTCCCTGGGAGGGCAAGAGGAGGTTAAAAGGTTTTTTGGTTTTTTTCGTTTGTTTGTTTGTTTGTTTGTTTGTTTGTTTGTTTGTTTGAGTCAGCTTCTCAGACCTTCTTATCTCCTTTGATTCAGAAGTATTGATACGTTGGGGTATCAGCTCCACACACAGTTCCTAAACAGCACCTGTCTTCTCACCACACAGTACGTCAGTCCCGGAAAGAGATTTGAGAAAGGCAGTGTATTCTGAAAGCGGCCAACACTGAAAAGGTGGGTGCTTCAAGATTCTAATCCACCACTCGTAGTCTGGTCCTTAGAGCATTTGTATGTGGCTTCTTAGCAACCAAGTGAGGCAGGCACCATCAGTGACAAGTACCCATATCAGCATCCTCCAGAGTCCCTTTCCCAGCATGCAAAGGCAGCCCAGTCTGCCATCTATATGACACATATGAGCATTCCCAACAGTCTTCCTAGCCACCATTTGAACTTTCGGAACTTGTTCAAGTTTTGAAACTTGAACCAAGCACACCTCAAAATGTATCTAACTCCTCTACTTCTGGAACTATAACCTTAGACTGGGCATGTACTTGCCCTCCCCAAAATGCTTTCCTATATAAACGTAATAGGTCCCCAAATAAAATCCCCAGACTTTCTTTGCTCCAGGAAGCATTACCATGGAAATAACTCCATCTCTCCTTTCCTGCCACAGGTAGTAAACTTTTCTCCACTTTCTTTTCTTGGCTCTGCTTGATTTGATTATTTGGGGCTTTGCACTAACCAGGAGGTGAAACCATTGTGTTTTGTTACAGCCTGAGATAGAGAATGGGGACTGGAGAGAAGGAAAAGTGAAGCAATAGACAGTGTGCGAGTACACAGCCAAACCTCATGAGTTTTCCTAGGACAGAGGTTGAGAGGGTAATGACGCTAGCATAGACAGAGGCATTGGTTGCTCTGAGAGGGCAGCTTGGGGGCCTCTGAAGTCAAAAGCTTACCCAATGGATCCTAGCATAGCCTGGCATGAAAGGGAAGGGTCTGTGGATTTGAGTGAGTTCGGAGTTTCTGAGAAAGATCATAGGCATCACCATAACCACTATGACTGCCATAGCAAAGGTGGCATGTACAGCAAGGCTGTGGAAACAGCTGCAAAACCTCTTAAGATGAAGGAGAGTGAAGCTAGAGATTCACTAGAGAGAGCTAGAGAGTGACGCTAGAGAGTCATTGGGAGTCTCCAGTACTCTATCTACCACACCCACCCTGCTTCATGAGACCACTTTCGCTGACCAGCCCCCAGTCTTTCACTCCCCTCAGCAGTTCTCCTGTAGCTAGACCCAGACTGCTATGCTTTCTCCCTGTCTTCCTCCTGGTAGCTGCCCACTGCTGGACAGCCCTTCTCTGTTCCTCCAAATCGGCTGAAATTCCTGTCTTCCTTTATCCACCAGCTCACACTACAGCCTCTCCCCTGGGAAGCCTTTGTTTATCTGTGGCTAAAGAGTGCTCTCTAGAACCTGGAATGCCAGAGGACAGGGAAGTTGCACTCAACCCGTCCTGGGGGCGGTGTTATGATCTGAAATGTCCCTCACAGGCGCACGTTTGAACACTTGGTCTGCAGCTGGTGCTGCTGCTGCTGTTTGGGGAGGTTGCGGAACCTTTAGGAAGCAAAGATTGATGAGAGGAAGTGGGTCACTGGTGAGTGGACCTTCACCTTTTATGGTTCAACCCCACTTCTGGTCCCATATCTACTTCCTGGTCTTTTGAGATGTGAAGAATCTCAGCCACATGCTCCCACTGTCACAGAACCATGCCTTCCTTCCCCGCCATGATGGGCTGTGCGTTCTCAAACCAAGCAACAAAATAAACCTCTTCGCTATTAATTGCTTCCTACCAAGCCTTCAGTCACAACAAAGAGAAAAGTAACTAATTCAGTTGGTTTGTGAAAGCTTTCAGGGCTGGAATCATGCCTCATTTGTCTGTGCAGCCCCCGCAGTTCACACCACAGAGCCCACACAGAGGCTCAGTGGGTGTTTATTCAATGCATGAGTGGATCAATGAATAGAAACAAGGCAGTGCCCAAGTGGCCATACTCTGCCTCCTAGCCCTGTGATACACTGGCCCTTCCAAGTCCGTTGATCTCAGAGCCTGCCATGTCTTGAAACTCAGGTGGCAGCATTGCCCCAGAGCAATATTGACTTTTCCGGATACCCGTGGCCAGGCTCAGCACATTTGTTCAGAGCTGTTCTAGCTTAGAGCATGAGCTGTACTTAAAAGGTGATGTAAACAGGGGAGAGTGGAGAACTCAGGCAGAAAGCAGAAGTATCATTTATCAAAGACGCTAAGTCTGGTAAGATGTTGTCTCTTTCTGAGTCAGGATCCTGGGTCAGTCTTATCCTTCCATTTGAGGGACTCCTGATCAGTCCATTTTCAGCTATCGATATGGCCACCAAGAATATGTTCATGAACAATCATTCATCATGATCTTATAAAAGTCACTGGGCTCAGGAACCAATGACATGATACAGAGCCAGAAACTTTATTTTGCTAAAAGGAGCCCACAGGAAGAAGTCCCATTACAGGTGAAACCACCTCCATTTTCATCAGCCTGTCATTGGTGATACCACCACCACTTTCATTAGCCAACATTTATTGACTAGTGGGCCAAACACAGCAGCGGAAGTCCTGGCTCACATACTCCAACCCCTTCACACAATTGCAGTCAGGGGTGTACATGTATGTTTGTATGTGGACATGCATGTTTTTACACATGAACATAAACAGTCCATGTGCAAGCTCATAACTACTTCAACCAGTCCACCGAAGACCTCACTATTTTTTAAGCAAACCCAGGTTTTCATTTCTCATCAATAAATCAACTGTTTTGCTTACTACTTCCTAATCAGGCAAAAAGCTTTCAGGCCAGAGATTTATCATTTAAACAATAGACAACAGATATTAATTAAACACAGACTTCAAAAGCTCCTCCAAAGACTGAGCAGTATTGGGAGCCAAGGAATTGTGAATTGTCCTTGACCAGATGTTTTGAGTTTTGCCTTTGTCTGAGCGATGACATTCTGTCCCCAGTATGGAACAGGGCAGAGTACTCACAAGGAAGATGAAAAGGAAAATTAGGCCTTTTAAGATACAATTCCACCTTCTCCTGAGTCAGAATCTCACATCAATGCCTACCCTTCCTCAGTTCCTTTCTAATAGGATTTCATTTGGGATTCTTGGGATTAGGGACAAAGCTTAACACCAAACCCTTCTCTGGAGCTCTTTGATAGGAGCCATCATCCTTTGGACTACAGAATTGGTCACGGTGAACAACTGAGCAAGACAGTACAATATAGGTGTACAGGCAATACAGTAAGCGAATCCAGGGATGCCCTTTACCCTGTGTCTAGCTAAGCTGCACACTGATGGTGACAATTTCCCAGCATATGACGGTGACAGGCCTTGAGAAAGAAATCATCCTCTCTAATTTATACCAGGCATCGGATGAACTTAGTTGTGTCAGGGCAACTAAGACAGTTGCCCTGTCCAGAGCGTCAGGTTCACCTGTGTGGTCTAAGGTTTCTTTCCTAGAAAAACAGTCCTAAGAACAAACACAGAGAGCTGACTATCTTGACTCTCTCGAGCTGTGTCTGTGTGACATTTCCACTGTGGTGGTCTAAGTTTGGGATACACAGGTGTGTCTTGGGTCTGACAAAGCCAACTGAGTAGGTAAGCATTTGATGACCTTTATCCTGAGCCAAGACCTTGTTTTAGGGTAGGGGAAACCATGGACTTTTCCAGAGTTGTGGCCCCAGAACTAAGTTCAGTGGTGTTGGAGGTTGGTCTGATGTTAAATACTGGCCCTCTGTGTAAACCTGCCTAAGTCATTAAACCTGACTGGCTAATTAAACAGCCTGTACCTGGGCAGTGCAGAATTCGGTAGGCATGGCTAAGGTTCCCCGGGCTTTGGAGAATCCCACGAGAAATAATGGTAAGGACAGACAAATGGGAAGAAAGGGAAGAGGGGGACACCAGGATGGGTTAGCCTGGAGAAAACGCCACATGGGCCAAGGAAGGACTCCAAAAATGG